TGATGTGAAGTTTATATGAAATAATTCATATATGAACTGCGGTTGTAGATGAAAGTGAAGAATGATCATCGCAGTAAATTTTCCAATTTAAGCAGCTGGAAAGAAGAAGCCAGAAAAAATCAGGGCTTCAACGGGATTCGAATCGAAGTGAAAATTCGAAATTGAAAAAAAAATTGAAATTAAACTTAAATATCCCTGCTGTTAACGTCAATCTACTGTCATTACGGGTTCTTTCAAACCCAACGGAAATACAACAACAACAACTTTTATCATGACTCGCATATTTATAATTTTACAGAAATATATACACATTAAGTTGAATTATTAAAAGTGCAAAGACACATTTTAAAAATGTCAAAACTGGCCAAAGTAGAAATCCGAAGGCAGAAAATAATTAATTAAAGTATTTCTATATTTAAGCTTTCAACGGGTTTCGGAAAATATGTAAATAGAAATCTTCCACAAATGGAAGAGGGGCACAAAACGAGAAATAATGTAAATTTTACAATCGTTAAAAGTTTAACCGTGAATTCTCTAAGTGGTTTGAAAATTTAAAATTAAGAGGTTTTTACCACACCAAAAAAAAAAAGCAACAGCAACAACAACAAAGTTACTCTTAATCACCATTGTTCTCAAAACTGAAAAGTGTCCCATCGTGGCCTGACTGGTACATACGTCATCTGTTTTCATAATAGGCCCTTGCAGCTAAGCCATCACGCGACCTATTTTTCATAAAATTATGGGCTATAACTTAACGAATGCCAGAAATGGAAAAAGCANCCTTGCTCTCCAGCAACATTTTGCATACAAATCCTCTAAATTTTCCGAAAATTCAAACTGTCGTATAAACTTACTCCTCAATTCCAGGGGCCTCAAACTTGGCCATTTTGGTATTTTCGAAGCGCTCTTTCCATTTCTGGCATTCTTTAAGTTGTAGCCCATAATATAAATTTTTTTTAGGAAAAATTTGGTCAGGTGACCCCAACTGCAAAGGGCCTATTGACAAGGGCTCATAACAGGGGTGACACAGCTGGGAGATTCAGACCAACAGAGAAAGCCATAAAAACTATTCGCTTGCAGTTCGATCGGCGACGGATTCAAGAAGGAGGATCATGAAAGGCTTACCTTACAAGATGAAGACCAGAGTGCTTCTCCTGTTTATGCTGTTAGCGGTCATGGAACTCAATGGCGAAAATGGGAATGGTTAGTATAAGCTCAGTATGTACTATGTTATTTTTCGCTATCGTAAATAACGAAAACACTAAAGACTGAAAAACTACCTCAACCATGTCTTCCACTGTTCAAATGATTTTAAAAATAACCAACGAGGCGGGAAGTCGATATCTTGGTGAACGTGATCAAGAAATTCACAATTACAGTCTCGTGTCACGTTTAATGCATTGAAAATCTTCACAACTTCTGCTGTCTCGAAAACGGCCTCCCGGCGCAGTGTTAACAAGCTAATCGCCTGGAAACTGAGAATATCTTAGTCGAACGTATTCGCTATTGCGACCGAGTTGCATGTAGTATCGTAAGGTAGTTTGCTTTAAAAAACAGAGCATGCGGAACGACTAACCATTGTTTAATATTCTTCTGGGAAAAGGGAAAAAGAAGTCGAATGCATTCGATAAAGCCTTGTGACTATGTAAACATTGCACGAGAACGCTTTTATGCTTCAGCCGTTTTCAAGAAAACTTACCTCGCTCGGCTGGAAAACTAGCGTATTAAAATGTTCCATCTAACATGACTTAATTATCGATTCTGTGACGTTAATCAAAAGTTAAAACAATACTAAAATACCGCCATCAAGTGGTAATAACCTTTTAACCAACTGCCAAGTCCCTTGTCTTTCATGCAAGCGAGTTCGAATTATTAAAGGTCAGGCATTGTCCCTGAAAACAATTCAGTTGCTTGAACGTTAACTTGTGTCGATACGAAACACTACCTAAATTAATAAGCTTGTCAGCACTATCAAAATATTACAGTTCAAATACGCCAGTCAGGATTAGTTTTTCTTATTATTTTGATGAATTTTACTCGGATGAATTTGTTTTCCCCTAACCAAAGCCTTAAGCTTGAAAATGAGGAAAGGTATTGCGGACACTGTTTGCTTTGTGCAACCGGCATCTGCCAAACAAAATAAACTTTACACGCAGGTGCAGTCAAACACAACTTTTTCAGGCCTCTTGTTTTCTACGAAAAATAATTTTCCTTAAATGGAGGCTTCTTTCTTATGCTCAGTGTGTGACAAGCATCTCGAGAAAATAAAAACAACCAGAAACACTTGAAGACGTGCTATTCATTTGCAGTTGACGCGGTAAAAGACGGACAGTGCGATGCTAAGTGGGGACAAATCCTGAATTTAGTGCCAAAGGAAATAATTGATCAGGAAATTCTCCGCGCACTCGAGTACAAGTTTTTCAACATGACGAATCCTATACCACTGGATACGATATATCAACACTGGGACGACAGGGCAGAGGCTTGTCCAATCGTGATCCATGCGTTTTAATGCCGCCTACCACCTTTTCAGTGTTTTAATCTTATCACCGAGACACCTTAGACGTTCACTCTCTCCGTTAATGTACTTTTCGCCGGTACTTACAAAGGGGAACGCATGCCTTCATGCGTCGCCAAACAAACCGTTTCCGGAGAAACATATCTATATGCATATCACAGTGTAGTAAATAAATGTAAAATGTAGTAAATGTTTCTCACCGCCTAGATTTTCCTTACAATTTTCGCGCTGCCAACAGTCAGAAGACCAGAATAACGAAAATTTACCGAGGAGGAAAATAATGTTAATTAACCAACAAAATACCCAAACCACATTAAAATAAATGTGTGGTAACCACAATGGAGAATCTATACTTTGATGTTGGGACTTATCTTACCTGCTCCGGTAATCCAAACCAGATCAGATGTCAAATGGGCTTTTAATTCATCTTCAACATAACTTCATTTTAATCATTTGTGTATGATGTAGAACGTTTGTTTTTCTTTTTATTCGGGAAGCATCAAGAACGAACTGTCCACATCCCATATTCTTGGATTACTAGTTATTACTAAATGCTCCATTCTCTGATCTTCTGTGCCACTCGCAAATTAACAGCGGTGTTTTCAGTTTACATAAACAACTGGGTCGATTGAAGTTTTTATTCAAATTTTCCAAAGCGCTTCAGGCTGTTTTCTTAAATATCGCTAGCAAACACAGCAGTTACTGAAAACTTTCCCTTGCGCACCATCTTTCATTCTCTTGAAAGCAAGTTTCCCGTATTTTCACAATTTAACGCCAGGCCTTTAATAAACGCTGAGACCGTACGTAAACACTTCTGACGTTTTTTCGACGCACAGGCGTTTATCCGAATCCGACATTTACAAAAGTCTTCTCATCGATCAACTTGTACTGTTTTCTGAAGTTAAGGAACACTTCAGAATACCGTTTGAATTATTTTCCTTATTTCACCGAGTATGACTGCGTTCTACCGCTTTTCTTTTCAAAAACCCTTTTGGCTGCAGATGCAGTTGGTGACATTACAAAACAGATCAGAGCTTCGACTTCAATTCAGTAAACTTAAAGTATTAAATAACACACAAAAAAATATCCTTATTTAACAACAACCTAGTATTATACAACGCCAGCGGCGTTTAAGTTAGAAAATAAGATAGTCTGGCTTCGAAGCTCGAATATTTTTTTAGACTGCTAGCAAGGCCATAGCTAGTTATATTATATACGGCCATGGGTAGTGGTGAAGAAACAATAACGCAACAACAAAAACTTGACATTTTTGCTCTAGTTTAGCCTCGACCGACTCCTCCGAACACGCGAACGGCTATGTCGCCAAACTCCAGTCGACACCAGTGCTCTGTCGGAGAGTTCCATGCTACTCAGTAATTTTTAGGGAGCCCGCCAAAGTACTAAGGCGTTAAAGTGTAAATATAAATGTTTGGTTCATCGATTAATTTCAATTAATTAGTAAGTACACCTTCAAAAGATCATTCTACATTGTGTCGGTTTTTGCTTTTGTATTCTTCATTTTATATGTAAAGCCGATTAGATCACTACTGATCCAACGTATACCAGCAGGATGATCGTTCCGGTTGCTTGCTTAAACATTTTATAATTAGTAAGCCTCGCGGCAAGAGGGTGGGGTGGGTAAGTTTCTGTGTGCACTACGCCAAACGTGTCACACTTACGTAAAGCGAATGATACCCGGTTCAACGTCGTTCAACTTTTGTTGATCAACAACTGTTGAACATCGTTGCGACTTGTTGAAACGTTGTTACAACTTGTTGAATACTCATTCAACTTCTGTTGAGAAACAGCTACACATTTTGGCGCGAAGTTGAAATGGTGGACGAGGAAATGTTGCTGTTGCTTTGTGCTTCGAGCATTGTAGCCGTTATTATGAAGCGTCGACAAAAAAGACAAAAAAAAACCCGCAAAATTTGGACGCGTGAAATGGTTAAGAAATAGAACCATATTCGGAGCATACTACACTCGTTGTTCCAAGTTTTGCTACAATATCTCCCAGAACTTTGTCTCTCGTGTCACGGTTTTTGTGATCCTTCGATCTTATATCGTACAGGCACGGAAAAGTCTCGTACAGATTGATCAGTTGACTGGTGTTATCAAAATTCCATTCGAAGCCACGTGACACCAAACTCGAAAACGATTGGTTGAAGCCTTTCAACAAGCGGCAACTTGTTCAACGGAATAGAGCCAAGCTCTATTTTCGTTCGATAACGTTCAACAACTTTCAACATGTTGAACGGCATATTTCAACGTTGAACATCACATGTTACACTGTTCAACATTTATTGAACAGCAGCTGCAACATTTGTTGCTCAACAAATGTTGAACCGTGTATCATTGGCTTTACTTCTTTAAAAACATCGCAAAGCTATATATTTGTTTAAGAAAGTCATAGAATGTCTGTCACCAAACCAGGAAGGAAAAAAAATGTAACTTTTTTTCAAGAACGTCTCTAGCCTGCTCTCAAAGGTCTACTCAGTCAACTAAATTTTAGCTGCACATTTTGAAATAATCTGTAAACCAAAGAGATATGTAACAATTTTCTTCCCTTACTTCACTGTAGAACACTCTCTTGCTTGTTACAAGTGCGACTCTGAGACATCTTGGGAAGACTGCGATAAGAATATGCACGGTATGAACTGTTCCGCTAAATACTCTGAAGTTTGTATTAAAGTTGAAAGAACCTGGTGGGATGACCAAAAGAACAGCAGCGAGCTAAAGACGAGCTATGCCAGATATTGCACCCTTGCAGAAGACTGCACAAAAAAGGAGTGCCGGGAGCGGAAATGGGAGTGTAAAATTGACTGCTGTTTCACAAACATGTGTAACACAAGTATTATCACGTCACCACATGCCCTTCTCATTGGAGTATTCTTGTGCCTTGCGCTGGAATCCATATCTGCTTTCTAGAAAGGCTTTCATAGGACAGTCGACAGGTGAAAAGGTTTAAAATTGAGGAACCGTAGCCAAGAAAAGTGTTATTAAAAAATTATGAAAACGTTCACTGGATATAAAGTTAAAACTTTCAAGCCTTTGGCTGTCAGACTACAGCCTAGCCTTCGATGGATAAAAATGGAAAAAACGACAACTACAAATATATATATATATATATATATATAAATAAATAAATAAATAAAATAGTGGGACTATAAAAAGAATATATTAAAATGAAAAATTGTTCTTTTTCAAAAGAATAGAGTATTTACTGGGGAGTAATTAGTTGATTGACACATTTTTTTTTCCATTTTAATGTATTTTGTTATCGTCCCACCTATTTTTGAATATATTTGTAGTTGTCGTTTTTTCCATTTTTATCCATCGAAGGCTGTAGCCAAAAGCTTGAAAGTTTTAACTTTACATAGCCAGTGAACGTTTTTATAGATTTTCAATAGGTGAAAAGTTGTTACTTAGTTTGGTTTCGAGTTTTCAGATTGCTTAAAGAAGGTATAACACGGATGGCGTCACTTCCGATACTACGTTTCAATACCATACGTTATGGCAACCATGTAATTAGATGTGCAGGACCTTTATTAGTATAGGTAATCATACAGTTACGAGTGGGTTTTTCAAAAAGCTGACATTGCAAAAGCCGCTTCGGCGGGTGCAATTTCAGCTTTTTTTGAAAAATTCACTCGTGCAAATTAATTCCAAATTGAACGAGAAAAACCGCATGATTACTTATTAGTAATATAAACATGAAAAAATTCGCGTGGAGGAAATGCCGGAAGATCTTTCTTAAAACCATTTTTTCTCATTCGAGAAAACTTTTTTCAAAGTTTCCCCGCAAAATTTTCGTCATCATTTTACGTGATATCATTGGCTTAGAAAATTTCCTATTGTCTTTCAGCCAATCATAATCCAGAATTACGATGTGTAATTTGCACTGGTGTTACACTTGAACTACACTACTCTGAGACAATCAGAATCGAGTAATTTTTTTCATGCATATTATCAATAGTCTAAACTAAGTAGAGATGCCCCTGCTCTTACTACATTTAGAAACAAAATTAGAAAACTTAACTTACCAGACTATGTTACCAATAACAGTACTTAATTGCTGTAAATTTTGGAGTGAAAAGATTACGTTGTAAATAATTCTGATCATGTTAGTATTGTAATTTTAATCATTTTAGTATTGTAAATATTCATTTCTAGCATTTAAGTACTGTAGGCTTATTCTTGTTTAGCGTTCCCAATTAATCCGTTAGGGAAAAATACTTGGACACTTAACTAATCGTTCTTACCTTATCTTGTAATTTTCATGCTTTTCGCCTAATTTCAATAATGCCTGTTACAGTGTGGATTGTTATAATTACTCTTTAGTGGCTTTATATCGTGCAAATTTTATTTCGAGGTTTTGCACTTTGCACTTTGCACGACATGTTCAGTCATATAAGCAAGACCAATAGCTAACTTCATTTGCACTGAAATGACGAAATACAGATCTGCGTCTTACATAGAAACTAACATCTCCCACACTACGCCGGAGAAATTTGAAAACGGCGTTAACACTCTAACAACGCATCAAATGGTTTGCGCCCACACTACGCAGGAGGATTTGTCTTTGAGAAACTCTGGGTCAGGGAAATCTCTTGATTATCGTGAAAGCATCGTTTTCGAAAAGCTCAGTTTTCAAAGCGTTTCCCGTCCACACTAAAACGCAAAGCCCGCGTTTTAAAATTCCTCCAGTTTGAGGAGCGTATTCGAAAAGCTCCATTTTCGTGTTGGATAAGTGTGGAACGTTGAACTGGGCCTTAATAAAGATAACATTTTCCAAGACAAACATATTTGAAGACAAACAATACGGGAAAAAAAGACTCTTTAGAAAATGCAACAATCTGTAGATATCAAAGACTAGTCGAGGCGGTTTATGTTAGTGTAAAATTCAGCTGAAGCTAGCATAGAGTGAATCCACAGTCTTGTGTTCCACTCTGATTAATAATAGCATTTTACTCGATCCAAGAGTGCGCAAAATCGATTGCGTGTTTTAACAAATATTTATAGAAAGAGTAGCGAAATGAATTAACGAGAAATTCTAAATTACAAACAAGGATAGAGCAAGCCAACAAAAAAGGAAAGGATGTATATCATTTGAAAATGATAGTGGTATTTAATGTCGGCTGCAAAGGAACCGTTCCAGTACGAGTGAAGCCGAGTTTCTCGCCCGCTAGTCGCGCAAAAACTGGGGCGAGAGTACAAATGAACAAAGAAGGGGGTGGTGGGGTGAGCAAGGGAACGCTTGGTGCGGCAAAAATGCGGCAAAAACTCTTTCGTTTCTACGGGAATGCTTTCTACGCTGACTATATTCGTTGCTGTTAATATACTTCAACTGACTGTACTTGTGCTCTTAAATATTTTGCCGTTAACAATAAACGTTTCTCATAATTAATTCAAAGAATAATAATAACAAAACGTCTTCTGAAAATTTAAGGTTTCGTGCTTATGGAAAATGAAAATTTCATCACTCAATCCCAAATGAAACTGAACTAGAAACACTCATTTTTCCTAAAAAAAAAATAAACTAAATGACCAAAGACCAATTAAGTTTTCAAACAATCAACCATGCATTATGTAAAGACAACTGATCTTTACATAACAACGAGATTCCATCTTACAAGGACAGGCCTTAGGGACCCTCAGGTCAGGCCTTGGTCGTCACATGGTCGTCACTTGCCATAAAAAAAAAAAAATTACACATAAAAATTTACACATATAATCTTTGACATATCTGCGTAAGGGACATTTCGGTTTCCCGTGAAACCATATAGTAAAAGCCATTTGACCAGAATTTGAGCAACTACAAAAGCGACCCAGACAACTCTTACAATTTAGTGGCAATAAATATTTCTCCTTTCTCTCCTACCCAATGCCCCTCGGGTCTCTATTGCTTAACAGCAGGAGCCATAATCGGGGACGGAGACCGTAAG